GTATGACTAGTTGGAATAATTACAAACTGAAATGGCAACCATGAAAATCCAGATGATGGGACAGATGGTGGGTCAGATGACTCTTATCCAAAATTTAGCTCGGGGACATGAAGACTTGAGAGCCCTTATCAACAAGGTTCATCAAGACGGATGCAACCATATGGGACAAATAACTAGAGTTGGGGATCGAGTCATTAATCAGCCTCTGATGGGACAAAAAGTTGGTTTGGTCGAGAGAACACCCTTCAAAATGGCTACTATACCAAGAGTCCAACAACAACCTCACCAACCACGACAAGGTGGCGGCGTAATCAAGGAAGACAATTTGCTGAGATCAACATGCCCTTAGCTCAAGCATTGCATCATATGTTGTAAGCCAAGCTGGTTACATTGAGGGAGCCTCCTAAAAAACTCTTTACTGCTTCTCCCTGTTACAATCATGAAGAAAGGTGTGCGTACCACTCGAACAGTCCTGGACACGACACTAACCACTATTGGACATTGAAAAAAAATATTTAAGACCTTATCGACGAAGGGGCATTGGAATTCACACAAGATGGCCAACTTGAGTTTTTCTGCCATCTTTAAAAGGCACATCATCTGAAGTGACAAATTTTAGGCGGAGAAACTTTTGTTTATTCGAATTTTCAGTTGTAATTTCTTTGTTTGCTTAAACATTTGTCCTTATGTCAGACTTTGGTTATTCTCGTTAATGCATTGCACATGTTTTTCTTGAGTTAATCCATTCGTTTTCACTATACTGAAATTATGCTTTTACCTCTTTTTGCATGATATTCAACTCTCAACTACAAGTCTAAAGCCTTTAGAGGGAGGATGACGAAAATAATACCATGATCTCATACCGTATACTTTTGGATAGACCTTGCTGACGATGTACATGCGTTGTTTCAAATTCCTAAATACTGGAGTTATAAGGAAGATAATCCCTAGTCAACCCCTTTAAGCCTAAGAAGTAGGAGTTTTCTTTTTCACACAAATTGAAACCTTTAATCATAACCTGGGGCAGGGTTAGTTTCTCAGTTAATTCAAAGGCGCGTTCAGTCACAAACTGCCACTTCACAACGAAAATAGCCTTCTGAATCAAAAGACAGCGATGGTTCCCCGTAAAATAGGCAGTCATTATCTCTCAAAAGAAAAGCCCACTGTGTCAAAACCTATGAAGGAGACTTAAGAAAAATGGGGCATCCCACTGGCTGTAATCTCAAAACAAGAACAATCAGACAAAAATTAGGGACAATAAATCAAAAATAGGGCGCTACAAATCCTCGACAAACATGAAAAATGTTGCAAAATGACTGCCTTCTCCAACAAACTTAACTTGTCCGAACCATCACCAAAATATCATTCCAGATTCAATAGGAGTTCAGACGCACAATTAACTGAGTTTAGGACTGGAGAACATCATGGAGAACGGGTTGGGTATAAATACACTTTGAGGCTTATCCTTTATTTCGTAAACCGTGAACCAGGACACACTACAACCCTTTAAAAGTCCTAATTGAAGCGTGAGTTAGCTCGAAAGCATACTGTTACAAAAGGTATCCTGACTCCTGTAAGGCTTATTGTAAATCCCGAGTTGAATTCACATTCTTACAAAATTCTTTTATCTGCTAAAAAAGCATTTTCAAAACTTCGAGACAAACATAAACTTTGCATTGTTTGAATATCGTTGTTTGCATATGGCTAATTGTTTGACAGCGGAGAAATTCGCATAACGAATATCCAATGAACGAAAATTCTCAATGAACAGAACCACTTCCATTGACAAATCTTCCATGATCAAGGGGCATAACATGATTATTGTCCAACCCATCAGGGCAGTCAAGTCAAGATTCCAAGAAATCTCTCATAACGGGGAGCAGGTCTCCATTCGAATCGCTTGGGACATTAATAATCTCTTACCATTTATTCCATTACTTCATAATATATTTTTCCACAAATTAATTAAATAATATTCTACCCACTACCATACATCATGTAGTTCTCTATCCCACTTACACGACAATTAAATAGTAAATAATATTATTAATAAATCAACGAAAACTCCTATTTAATCAAAACATATCTACATCCATAAACTATAATTTTTAGTTTAGTTATTGTTCCCAAAAATCAAAACATAACTTCTCTTTGTTATCTCTTTCTCCATACTCTCTCCCTCTCAATTCAATATTTGATTTATTTTATGCTATGTTTGGATCATGAGAGAAAATAGGAGGAAAGAAAGTGAAAGGAAAGAAAATATAAGAAAAGAAAGAAAAACAAACACAGTGTTAGAGTTCATTTACTTTGTGTTTTAAAAACAATTATAAATTAATGTTGTAATTAAATAATAATTACTACCAACTTTAAAATTTTCTCTACATTTTTTTTCTTTTTTGGGCATGAAGAGGGCTTAAAGCCCTAACATGTCTATTTTTACATTGAAATTTCTTAAATTTCTATCGATAATAATAATTAATTTATTTATTAAATTACAATGACTACTAACTTTAGAAAATTCAATTTTCCAATTTATTAATTAAATAATAAAAGAATTTATTTCAAATTCATAATAATTTAATTAAAACAATTTGAAAATATGTGGAGTAGAAAAGCATTCTCCACACGTTTTCAAAAAGCCCCATGTTTTCAATTAGTTAAGTAAAAAAAATTCAATTCATTGATGTTAGTACCAGTTATTAGTTGAAACCGTTTTTTTGATGATGCTATTTTATATGTATTTATTTATATATTTGTTAATTAAAAAACAACTCATTTTATATTATGCTAATTAATTAATAATTAAAATAAGATAATATTTTTAATATATTTATTAATTTTTAAATAAAAAATATTCACCCCACTTATTTAGTGTAGTATATTTATTAATAAACTAACTTCAAACGACAATTAAATGCATTAACGGATTAATTCTTTTTATTATAATTTATTATTAAAATGTGAAAGAATTTTGGTGAGTTTTTTTTATTTTTTTTGAAAAAAGACCTATAATTATATGTATTTATTTATATAAAAAATTATTATATATTTATATATTTAATATATATAAATAATTGTCAATAATTATCAATTTTATAGATCGTCTTTAAAATTATTTTAATTTATGACATTTATTACTCTCTCCATCTTAAATTTTTTTATCATAATTGACATTTTCACAAATAAAATATTATCTTTATTAGTTATTGGTGTATTCAAATTAAGATTAATGATAAGTAAAATAATAATAAATAAAATATTTATTAAATAGTATAATTGGAAGATTAAAAATATTTTAAAATAAATAATTTTTTTAAATGTGATAATTATTTTAGAACAAAGGAAATAAAATTAATTACGAAAATAGTAGAAATTATATAAAAATTATAGAAACTAATTCTAAAAACTCACTATTATATATAAACATAAAAATTATTTTTAAAAGTGTCTCTCTATCAAAAGTATTTCTTATTTTCATTCATGATCCTTAATATATTTATTAATTTCATTTTGATTTAACATTATAATTATTTTATTTTAATGAATTTTGTTTTTACATATATTTTAAGTTGCTTGTTTATCGGTAATAATTTAATAAAATTTATTTGTGCATTATATGAATAAACGTTTAATATTATAATAAGAAGTTTACATAAATTTTTACATTTAATGAGACTTATGTTTTAATGATTTTGATAAGAAATGAATGAATAATCTTATATTTTGATGATTTGGAAAAAAACTTACCATAACATATTGTAACTACTGAATTCTGATAACGGTATTTTACAATTATAATTTAAATATCTAATAATCAATTCAAATTAAACTTTAACAGATTAAAAAACTAATAATTTCTGCGTGAGAATTTTAAACTAAATTGCGTCTAACTTCTGTTTGAAACAAATGTTTTTTCTCCCTTAAAATCATTTCAAACTACAATTAAATATAATGACCGTGGCTCAATTCAAACCGCATAAAATCCAGAAAAATAATTGGGTGGGTTTAATTGAGCCTTTAGGTTGTGACTGGATCGTGGGTTTCTGACCCGTCCCAGCAGTGGAAGAACTCACCGTCACCGTCACCGTCACCGTCACCGTCACCTCACGTAAACACCACCGACCAGAACTATCACTCACCACCACACTACATCCACTTATCTCGTTTTGTCACTCACCTTCATGACGAAAAACATCACGACGAGGAGCAATATGACAGCGACGAGCAACACAACCACGATCTTGTTGAAACTGCATCATAAATTTGCAAGGTTGATTTATTTTATTCAATTTTATAGTTTTTGATTTAGGATTTCAAATCATCTTTCTATAATTTTGTGTTATTGTTTCATTTCATTACAATGATTTGGATATCTACAATCTGAATCTACACGATAAAGAGATTTTGATGCACTGTCAGTCATAAACCATCTATTCTAAATAAATTCTTGTTTTGAGATATTATTATTTGTTGTTTTGATTTGGAGTAAATGAATATTGTTTTTTGATATTGTTTTTTTTGTTGTTTTGATTTGTACATGGATAAAGTAGTCATAAAGCAAGAGGATGCAGCTAACCAGTTTTGTTTATGTTTGAACTATTTTAAGAGATAAAGTCTATGTTTCACGCGGCATGTTTCTTGTTCCAACTTTATTTGTGTTATCGTATGCGGATGTTTTGTTTTATTCATCACACTGAGATAATCGTGAAAATTTTCATATGGGTTACTTTGGTTTGTTACATTATGCAGATTTAGTGATGGAGCATCACACTGAGATAATCAAGAGTGGGTGCCATAAGATTCTGGATATGTTAAGTAGGATGTCCTATGAAGGCTTGAAAAAATAATTTTATTTTTATTTGATAACATTTTTTTTACTGGATCGCTCTATCCTCTCGTAAACGGTGTAATCTGTCCGACCAGCCAGGTTTTAAAACTTTTTTAACTTAGTCAGTTTTTTAAAAACAAATCCGTTTCACAACACCAACCTCTCTTCGATGCTTCGCCGCAAAGTTTCATTCATCACCTCAAAACCGCCATTAATCACCATCACGACAACCATCCGCCAAAAATCAAGCGGCGGAAAAAGACCGAAGAAAAAAATCTACCACCGAGTCCCCGAACTTGACAGAGTAATGGAGCTTCGCAAGAAACCCACAACAATCCTCGAACTCAAAACCCTAATACAATCCCAACCCAAAAGCAACCCTCTCTTCCTCCGTGACCTCGAGAAAAACGTCGGCTTTGTTCGCAAATGGGACTTCATGGCCCTCATTGAAAAACACCCCACCATTTTCCGCGTAACAGGATCTCCCCCTTTCGTTCATTTCACTGATAAGGCCCATCGAGTGGCCCAACAAGAAGCCCGGGCCCGAGATTTTATGGAGCCGCTTTTGGTTAATAATCTTAGGAAGATGCTTATGCTTTGTGTTGACAATCGGATTCCGCTTGAAACGGTTGAGTTTGTTGGGCCTGAGATGGGCTTGCCTTGGGATTTTAAAGGGTGTTTGATTGATAAGTATCCTCAGTTCTTTTCTGTTAGGGCTTTTAATGGAAGGGATTTTCTTTATTTGGAGGATTGGGATTCTACTTTGGCTGTTACTGCTAGAGAAGCTAGGTAAATCTTTTGTTTCTTTTCATTTTTTTTTTTGTTTTTCTTGTTGTTAAGCTGCTAGGTGCATTTTTGCATGTCTGGAATCAAACATCTGTATTTCTTTTACAACCAATCCAGACACACACTTGTTGGGTACTTGTTTGACTTAGTTTGTAAAGTTGTTAGTGAAAGAATATTTTTTCTTGTTGTTTTAAGTGGAAGTGTAAAATTATAAATTATTTGTTCTGAATATACAATAGGTTGGCACAGGAAGGGATTGTTGTGAACATGAAACCAAACATGGATAAGAAGAAGGTGAAGATTTCAAAAGATGGGAATTATACTGGTCCATTTGCATTCAAAGTGAACTTTCCTGCTGGTTTTAGGCCAAATGTTAATTTCCTTCAACAGTTTGAGCGGTGGCAGAAATTGGAGTTTCCTTCTCCTTATTTGAATGCAAGAAGGTTTGACACCGCAGATCCGAAAACTCGAAAACGGGCCTTGGGAGTGATTCATGAGCTCCTCAGCTTGACCATGGAGAGGAGGATGACATCTGCCCAGCTAGACGCATTTCATGCAGAGTGTTTTTTGCCGTCGCAATTGCTTCTTTGCTTAATAAAACATCACGGGATATTTTACCTCACTAATAAAGGTGTAAGGAGTACGGTTTTTCTCAAAGACGGTTATGTTGGTTCGAACTTGATAGATAAGTGTCCTTTATTGCAATTTAATGATAAATTTGTGGCACTCTGTGGTAGAGGAAATGTTGATTTGAGCGACATCAAGAGTTCTTTACAAGCTGTTGTTTAGAAGTTGAGTTTTCTGGAGTCTGTCAGCTTCTCTCCCTGTGTAACGGATGGATGATTGCAATCCAAGTACATCCGCCTCATACTTCCAAGTAAATTATTTTTCATAGTTCGTATATATTTTATATACATTTTTTAATTATTTCTAATATTTAATATTTATATCGATTTTATATGATCCGTACGAACGCACAATTTTTTTACTAATATGATTGATAATTGATAATTTAGAACCCATGATTAGTAGCTAACCATGTGACTGAAAGCTGACAAAATTAATTAAAATATTTAATAAAGTAACTGATGAATGTAAAATAGCATAAAAACATTATTTAAATAAAATTTAATGATTGTGTTATTATTATATATTATTAAATTAATTTTTATATGAAATTAAACATAGCAACACATGTAAATAATTTTTAATGATGATTGAATCCTGTTTCTCTAATCCAATTTGAATCACTTGCAAATAAACCCTAATTTTCATTTCCCTCTGGAACACATGCATCGTTTCACTGCAAAGTAGAATTTTGAAGCTTCGATTGAACTCAACGAAATAGTTTCCACCAGTGAGTGAGTTCCCTTTTTCATTCCCTTATTTTGGGTTTTCATTTTTCACTATGCGGAAATTCTTCAAAGTTCTTGCTTTTCCTTGCTCATATGACTTTAATCATTGTGCAAAGCTTTACATGTATACTCTGAATGGAGCATCACACTGAGATAATCAAGAGTGGGTGCCATAAGATTCTGGATATGTTAAGTAGGATGTCCTATGAAGGCTTGGATGACCAGAGGATGCATTTAGTTTTGAGGATGAAGGAAATTGCTCATGGGATTGTTGATAAGCAACCTAGAGTTGCAATAACTACGTCTGAGATACTTGTGGACCAAGTAAGGGGTTAATACCACATAAAGTGTTTTGAGTAAAAAGCTTAATTAAAGCGTTCATTCAATGCAGTCTTATCATGTACTCCCTCCGGTCTCATTTATAAGAAAAAATTAACTTTTTATATACATTGAATAAGTAATGTATTTGGACAATATATTGTCCAAATACATTACTTATTTAATGTATCTAAAAAGTTAATTTTTTCTTATAAATGAGACCGGAGGGAGTAACTTAATAAAGCATTCATTTAACAAGGTCTTATCATGCAACCTATTTAAGTGTTTATTCATTAAGGTCTTATCATGTAAGAGCCTGTATAAGTTGTTTCTGCAATCAAAAAGGAAACGAGCTTAAACTTTGAATCAACGCTATATGTATAAGCCATCTTGAGGAGCTTATGAAAATAAGCAAAAACAAAGGTTTTGGACTTATAATAACCTGTTTTTTAATAAGCTCTTCCAACACTTACACAAGTGCTTCTGTTGCAAGATAAGTGCAAATAAGTTCTTCCTTCCAGTTGCCTCAGTAATTTTGGACTTTTCTCCCCTTGTTTACATTTAAGATTTCTCTTAAGGTACATTAATCAGTTTACAGGTTTGCTTTGTGGATGAAGGGGCGAGAGACAGTCCTGTGGTTGACTCGATCAAGATCAGCAATGGGGATATTCTTATTGATGAGGCACAAAGCACGATGCATGAAGATGAGATGTTGGACGTGGATCAGGTTTTAGGATTTGAAAATGGGATAGATGAAGTAGAAGAGTCTCTGCTGTCATCCTGCTTTCAGCAATTTCTTTTGTGGCCTTCCGATGATTGTGTCACCTTTGAGTGGGTTCAGAACATGATGTTCATCCTTGAGAAGGCTTCACAGAAGACATTGCCAACTGAGTTATGTCATGTTGTGCAGACCTTTGTGGTGTTCAAATTGATAGATGCTGCCTGTAATGTTTTACGTAAAGAACCAAACTGTGTGGAGATTAATTGTCTTGGAGAGGATTCAAGAGTCATTGTTGTAGGCGATATACACGGGCAGTTTCATGATTTAATGTTTCTTTTGAAGCATTTAGGAATGCCTTCTGAGAACCAGTTTTATGTTTTCAATGGTAATTATGTTGATGAAGGAGCTTGGGGCATTGAGGTGTTCTTGGTCTTGCTAGCTTGGAAGGTAAGATGATGAGACTTCAAAAATTTATAGATATTTCATGAATTATCCGGGGGTTGTTGCCTTGTAGGTGCATATTCTCCAGGAGGAGAAAGAAAGAACACAGAAGAGTACTATATAGAAATATTTATATGACCTAGCAACTTTTACTGTGACCAAATACAACACTGATACATATTTCTCTTTGACTTTTTATCAGTATGTAAACTTTGTCATTGTATATTCATTCAATTCAGGTCTTGATGCCTCAGAGAGTGTATCTACTCCGTGGAAATCATGAATCAAGATATTGCACTGAACAATATGGTTTTAAGGAGGAGGTACAGACCAAATATGGCAATCAAAGTGAAGATGTGTACAATAAATTCCTGGAGTGTTTCAAGGAACTTCCATTAGCATCAGTTATTGCCAACCGTGTTTATACTACTCATGGGGGGCTTTTTCGTAGCATTCACGCTGCTGCTTCCGCTTCAGTAAATCCAAAACAGAAAATGACACAAAGGGTGGACCTTGGTTCTTTAGCTGATTTATCTCAAGTTAAAAGAACTTGCATAGATTCTCCACTTGAGGGTCCTAACATATTATTGAGTGACATTCTCTGGTCAAAACCATTTAATAGAGATGGTCTGAGGGTTAATGCAGGTCGGAAATTAGGTTTATGGTGCGGTCCTGATTGCACCGAGGCTTTCTTAAAGCAGCACAATTTGAAGGTAATATTCCAAATAATAATAACATAACTAATACAGAATAACAAAATGCTTATTTATTTTACTACAATAAGTAATTTGATTAAGATTTCCCGATCTTCTAATTATCAAACTTGTATTTGATGTCATTTATCTCTTCCCTACCAAATTATTATTTTTCTGTCAGCATGCCTTAATCATAGGGTTTTAAACATTCTTATCTCCACTCCACCCCTTACTCTTCTCTGTTTTTACTTTCTTTCTTTAAGTATAGCATGCCTGTTTTTCTAGTTTCTTTTTATATTCCTAGGATCAAGAAGTTCAATGCTAAATGAAATTAAAAACTTTAGTTCCCCATTCCCCTTTTAATGAATTACCCTTAAACCAGGGAGTTTTATATAGGAGTAGTGCTCCCATTTACGTTACCGTTTTATCTAGGAGTATTATCAGGTGTTTGGAAATTTTAACAAAAATCGTTATGAACGACACTTGTCATTGTTAAAGATGAATTGCATGTTTAGATGTGTGAATAAAAGAAGCAGTGCAAGTTATAAATATTATTTGATTGCTCAATAGGTATTCTTTAAGCTTAGTGAATATTATTCTTCCTGAATAGCTGATCATCAGATCACATGAAGGACCTGATGCAAGGGCTGGTAGGGATGACTTTGGTGATATGTTGAATGGATACAGCATAGATCATGATGGCGAGTCAGGAAAGCTATATACACTTTTTAGTGCTCCAGACTACCCGCAGGTTCAAATATTCATATAGCACTAGCTCTTTGTTATTCATTCATTAAAAAATTGCATTTTTTTTTGTTGCAAAAGTATCTTTTTCCATAGCAATGCATAATTCATAATGGTTCACTGATTCATTTTTGGGAACACTGAAGACAACAAGCTTAGTCATAGCCATAAATGCTATCATGTACTTGGCCATTGGCTTCCAATTTATGCCATTTTCTATCAAGATTGTCATATTTTTTTGTAAGTAGAATCTGATATTTGTTTAGGAAGAGTAGTACTAGCAACACTTACAGTAACACTCATTCTTTTATTAGGCGAAATTCACGTTGGTCCGTTTCCAAAATGCGTGTTTTCAAATAATTCATCTTTGAAATGGCTGGAAATTATTCATGGGGATTGTTACAAACATATAGGTTTGAAGAAAACATACATTTTGTACTTGTAGTGTTTGAGTGATTAAGTGTAGCTTAATACAAGGATGTGTAACATTGAGATCTGCAGCATCTGAAGTATCACATCTCTTTAAAGGTCTCCTGTATTGCAGTTTGGGGAAAAAAGATATAACAATGAAGGAGCATATGCAATATTGAAGTGGCCTGATTTTGCAACTCCTTCCTTTCAGTCATTCAAATCAGCAGAAAGACCAATGGTAATGAGTTCTTATCTAGTTATCTTACAAATAATGAATGACATATTTTTGCTGGGATCTACATTGACCCGAGATATAGCCAAAGTTGTTCTTATAAAACTCAGACAATCCCTCCCAACTCATTGAGCTAGCTTCTGGGTTAAGTCCAAAATTTAAGATAAAAACGTCGAGTTGTACAAGATATGTGAGAATTGTGCCGTGAAAAATATATTTTCTTAGAAAATATGCATTTTAATGTATTGAAATATTTGGGGATATAAGGCTGGCTAGGTGAGGGAGTTAAGAGCTGGATTGAAAAGAAGAGAATTTTGATCCTCGCCCAAACATAATACTAACTATACTATCATCGGTCATTAAAAAAGTTGAAATGTTTTTTTTATTTTTTATTTTCTTCTGTTATATTAATTGTTACTGACATTTGTTATAATTGCTTCCCAGGTGTATCCTTATCTTGATTTTGATGCTGATGACACGGACTTGAGTAAACCAGACTCTTCTCAAATCGTATGTTAGCAAATAGCTTTTTCAATAAGTGTTCCTCTGCTATCGTGTTAGCTATAATCTATAAGATGAATAAGTATAATTGCATGTAAATACATAAGAAATTCAAATTGATGTAGACAATGTTTTATCACTTTGAACTGTAATTATAACAAATTGATGAATAAGTGTTCCTCTGCTATCTCTTTTGCTATGCCCAGAAATGAATATAATTTTTTTCATCATCATCATTATGTTGTATTGCCTGCCAGAGACGGATAATTGAACCAACTTAATTTTGTTGATAAAGGACATAGAGGCCTCAACCTCCACCTTCTCTAGTCCTCAAGATGCATCGAGACCCGAATTTGACTTTGAGTCATTAGGCATATATAATGCTCCAAGTTGGAGTGTCCAGCTTCCGGATGGTTCAGGCGGTTCCCAAGTTGTGCAGGTTCCAAGAGCTCCTTTGGTGGAAGGGCTGCCTCTCCCACCTAACATAGAGGTAGCAGCATCATTTACAATTTACCAACATTTTGTAAATATGGCTAATGCTGAACCAAATTCTCAGTTTTTGCAGGAGCCTCACGCGGCTGCTTATAAGTATTTGTTCGAGCTTGTTGCTGGCCTGAAACACATGATTGCAACAAGGGTGAGTTCGTGACATTATATATTTACTGCTGTTAATTTTTTCTTGCTCGCATTTAGCTTTTTCACATATATATCTTTTCGGAGGGTAAGCTAAAGCTGATATTTTCAACTCAGGAGACGGAGAACAATGCTCGTGTATCGGCTTTGCGAAGTAAAGCTAGGAAACGTAAGGAAAGAGGTCACAATTGATGTACACATGACACAAAAGCACGTGACAGAAGATGCCCTGTTATCCTTTGATTAGGTTATTCTGCTAACATGTATGTCACATAATGGTTTAAAATAAAGAAAAATGAAGAAGAAGAAGAAGAAATGCTCAATCACAAATTGAAACATAGAAAGGGATTATCTATCATCTATTTCAATCATTCTACTTCATGATACGATAGAATAAATTATCATTAATCAAAAGTACCATAAATGATCAAATGATCATTTAAATAATAAGTTTGAAATGACAAAACTTCTTACAACCAAAACATCAACCTAAAGACCAATTGAACTTGATGATGACTCAAACAACCAAACCAAGATCCAAGTCAACAAAATTCAAACATAAATGAATCAAAATATTATTTAAAAAAGAATTAAAATGGTTTTAAATGGAAATTAAAAGAAATATATCAAAGAGGTATTAAAACATCAAATAAATAACCAAGAAAATTTGAGAAAACAGAAATATCATAAGTAAATAGATCTCAAAAGTTGGAATGAAGAATGTTTCAAAATGAGTGAAAGTAAATTGTAAAACGAATTAAAATGAAAATAAGAAGAAAATAGAAAAAAAAGCTAAAAATAATTTTAAAAATCTGAAAAAAAAAACATATGTGATAGAAAATAATTTGTGATTTAAAAAAATGGAGTAAAAAAAGTTAAAAGAGTTATTTAAAATAAATCAAAAAAGCTAATGAAAATAAAATAAATTAAAACAAAAAGAAATTAAAATTTCCAACAGATATGACGCGAGTCGCAACGTGATTGACCAAGGATTTGAATTTTTTTCTCCAAGGCGCATGAACACAGTCGTCTTCAACCTTGAGTTCAATTTTGTAGAATCATGAACTTAGAGGTTTAAGTTCAAACACTATATGTACAAGCTTCTACTCATCTTATCGTTCATGTCTATCTGCTTCAGAGCCATTGATTCACTCTGAACAGAGATAATTTTGCGTACAACTCAGAAAACCCTAAGGTTTCAAAGTAAAATTAAATTACTAATACAAAATATAAATTTAAGGTAAGTGATGGTTTTTAACCAGTGAACCATAACGAAGAGTGTGATAAATTTTTTGATCAGAAATTTTACTCGTATCTACCTATTCAGTTGAAGCTTCGATGATCAACAATGGTGAAATCAAGTTGAAGGTTGCAAGAGGTTTTGAACTTCTGTAATGCTTCAGTTAGCTTTAGATGATGTTGTTGAGTGATTCTTGTCAGGGATTTGAAGTTAAAATGAGCTTGAAACGAAGTAATGGTGTTTTTTTGAAGGTTTGGGGAGTGAAAATGGCAAAGGTTTTATGGTTGTTCATGCTTGCAAATGAAGGAAAATGGTCATCTATTTATAGGAAACCAAGTGAGATCATGGTATGTGCGAGATTGGATCTGGAATGTGTGAACTAAGTTGAGAAATTGTGTTTATGATTCGTGTGAAAATGAAGGATGAAAAGTGTGACTTGGGCATGGAATCGAGTCGTTTTGTATTCTATGAGATGCATTTTGCAAGGACAAACAACTTTTTACATGTGTTGGTGGTTCCAAGTGAAGTTTTGGATGATTACCAATTATATGTCAAGCGGAAAAAATAGAATTTAAGACACCATGTTCAAGCTTAGGCCAAATGAAATCCTTCCATGCATTTTGAAATGTTTCTTGTGCCAAATATTTTCCTCATGGAGGACAATCAAATGCAAAAAGAATAAGGTTAAAAGGATGCTTGAGTTGAAAATAGAATTTATAGAAAGTTGAGAATAAAGGCAAAAAGAAACACATATTGTGCTTGATGATCTCTCCCAAAAGCAAACTCAAAGGAGAGGGAGTTATGAGGCTACCATGTTTGTGATCTTGAATGATATACAAATGATATGATAGGTGAAATTTTAGGGGTAAAAATTAAGACATGATAGATGGTCACTTTAATTGTTTGCTTTTCTTTTATGTTTCGTTGGACGTTAAATCAGATAATAGTTATTTTGAAATAATATGTATGATATTGTAACATTAAGGTTGTGATTATTTTACTATGTTTTAAATTTTATTTTTCCATTTCGAGTAAAAAGTTGAGCATTATATTGGTGTGACACACCTTTGTCTCATATTCTTTTGTGTTGTAGTATAATTTAAAAAGAAAGAAAAAATATTTCGTGGGTTAAGGTTACACCATGTCCCATAACAAGAAACTCTACATCGAGTTATTTGATAAAATTTGGAAATGCTTCAATATCATGGAAAAAACAAAACGAACGACTATTTCTTATTCCTCTAGTAAGGTAGAATATACATCATTAACACATGCTTCAAGTTTCATGCACACGTCATAAAACTTTACATTGTGATAATCAAGCGGCCATTCATTTAGCAGCAAATGAAAGAACTAAATACATTGAAGTGGGTTGTTATTTCATAAGAGGACATATTCAATAAGGACCGTCAATAATGTATATGTATCAACTCATCAACAACAAGCTAGAATCTTTACCATATCATTAGGGGCTAAAATATTTCATGATTTCTTGTCAAAGTTGGTTGTTCACAGCCCTCAATCTCCAACATGACAGGGAGTATTAGAGATTAGGTTTGAATAGGGTTAATGATAACCAAGATAAGCTGAAAGTTAGTTATCACTTGTTCACTTTTGCTTCTATTTTATAGTTTGTTAGTTTGTTTCTTTTTAAATCATTTGTTACTACTTTAAAGGTTTATACTGACATATATAAACAGTCCTATTTAACTTCATATTTCAAGGAAATATAATAGAGAGCTTTCCCTCTTTACTTTCTAATAATAAAGTTTGATTACATGCTCTTTTCTTTTGCCAATCGTATTTTAAATTAGTCTTTAGTTTTACAGTAATCACCGTGAACAACCATAATATAATAGAATCAGATAAATAAAACACCATAACTCAACACAACTAAGTAACGAACCATGATAGTAATTGTAAGAAAATGCGAGAGATATATAAAATACAAGAATAATTTATAGAGGAATTGAGTATGTAGTGAAAAGGGTTGTGTTGACGTTGGTGTCAATCTCTCATAGAATCAACTTAATAAACCCCTTTATATTTTTATAAATATTCAACTTACTCATTTTCGATTTTGTTTATACTTGTCTTGCTTCTTTTCGTTTGGTCGGAGAATATTTGAAAAAAAATCACATGTTTGTTAATTTCGACTAATACTTTATTTATTTTTTAATATAAATACTTTAAAATAAATTAATAATCGTTATAT